CAATTATCGCGTCTGGTTACGGTCTTAGCAAGGAAATTAAATCAAATCACCGAGTTCTATTTTTCATCAAATACAAGGCATTTTTCGAGTGAGATATATGAACTGTTTCCTCGTGTTTGTTTATTCACAGTCAGAAGATGGTGATGGTGTATTTCATATTCCAGCGGGGAAATCCCAAGGTAAAATTGCTGTACCTGGATTTACACTCAAGTTTTGAGCTCGTGCTTTTCATGGCGAGAGTGTAGAAGCAACAGTTCGGACAAAGAATGGATCAGTGTTTTATCTAGGGGACATCTAGAATCTGATTTTGTGATCCACGAGTGACCTGCCAATCTACTAAAGAACCTACTGTAGTGTAGTGGAAAAAACATCAAGGTTGCCCTGAGGTTCTACCATGAGTTATACCAAATGTACATATCAAGTTAATGATTAATACACGTAATCTTTAAATCCCTAGATGATCGAACGGTCTGTGCTAGACTGCTAGCGTAGTGACAATAACGCCACTACAAAGCTTCAGATTAAGAGGGATTCAACTATGTGAAAAATCCAAGTAAATTTTGACGTTTATATGAAGGGCCTTCGCTCGAAACGTACAGGTATCAGGTACAGTACAGGTATCAGCTTAAAGTAAACCGCCCGCATCATGTATTTTTCACACCGCATGAAATTTTTCATTATTTTTTTTTCATTATTTCGCCTTTTTTCGTTTCCCACATTGCTTTCTTGTCAAAGGTTCTTCATTCTTCCTGTTTTAGCGACAGAATAATTGAAAATTTCAACGAAATCTTCAGCTCAAGTCACCAATTCGCGACAGATACTTTACAATAAGTTTTCGGGTGGTACTAGTAGCCTGCTTTGCAATTTCACTCGTATATAGTGAGGATTTTCGAGACTTTTCATAGACTTTCATTTTGAAGAAAATAAAAAATAATGAAAAATTCCCGCATGGAAAATTTTTTCCAGGTTTACAGTAAGTTGATACCTCACTTCCATCGGCCTTACTTGCATTTTTCAAGTAGTTGAATTCCTCTCAACTCGTAGCTTTCTGGTATGATTAAGGACATCAAAACGATTATATTGTTATATATTTCTTTATATATAAAATCGACTTTTGTACCCGTTTACGTATGGTAAAAAATTCCAACCCCATGCTTCTTAAATCCGTACAAATGTCCATATTTACTACATTTTAATGTGTCACATTTTGGTGAAATTTAATGATATAAATACTATACAATGTATAATGTAATCTGAATGTATGCTGCTATACAGGAAGTGTTTTTGAGACTGTTTTCATTGCAGCTGATGAGAAAAATCTTGACATCATTTTCATTCCCGTGGTTCCGCCTGGGATATAACTCACCATGTACCTAGAATTTGACAAAGAAAATCATTACCATGGTACCTTTTCTTGGGAGTTTGTCAGGAGCTGTAGAAAAAGGTAAAATCTACATTTATCTTACACCATAGTAAGGGAAATGATTGGTATACATGGTATATCTTCTTGGAGATTTTTTCAGCAACTGCAGGCTAGAGCAATAAGGTAAAATCTGTACTAATTTTACACTAAAAATACCAACAATGCACATACCAGAGGAGTGTTATAATTTGTATGATTGCACAAAATAATGTAAGGAAAGTGCTTTTCATCTGTAATAGAGAACAATACAGCAATTTAGTAAAGGTTTGGGCTTAAATAATTGGTGTATATGCACAAAAGCAGAGGTCACAATTTGGATCAGTACAAATGTGGTTGCTTCACAATTTGAGATGCAACTTGCATAAGGCTTAATAGGCCCCCCAAATTTTATAAAGGGAGGTCAGAATAGCTTTGCCCACTCCAAAATTGAATATTTAAAAAATATTGTGTTGATCGACTAATCAATAATAAGCCATCCTGACGACCTGAAGAGGTAGAAAAAGTTTTATAAAATACTCACAAATATAGCAACATACAATGTTGCAGACATTGATCCAAAGTATGTGACAGTGAAAGGCAATCTTTCCACGCTGATAAGGTGTTTAAAATGATGATATGGGCCCCAGAGCAGTGAGAAACTAGAGATAAGAATTCATGGTCATTGGAGGGGCCAATATTAGGGCTCGGGGAGACTTGGACCCCAGTCTATGTAATTAAAAGAAGCCCTTGTCAGCTTCAGAAACTTGCATGAACATGCTCTCATCTCTTGCATGAACAATTAAGCATCTCTCAGCTCTACATATTTGCCTGCAAATAGAAGACAACCAACATCTGCTGTACGATTCTGCAGTGTGCTTGAGGAAATCACCTATAAAGTTGGATAATGTTTATACCTTCCCAAAGTAAAAATACTCCCCATAGTATAGAGAGCAACAAATTTTCTTGACTTGAGTATTATGAAAGGTATTAACATCGCCGCCTAAAATGAAATATGCACATGTTGCAGTAGGTAAATTTTGTTCAAAAACGTAACATCAAACTATTATATTGTCAAATTTCATGTTCCATTGGAAATCACAATTGAATGAAAATTACCATTCCAAAACAGAACATTCCTAACAACAAGGACATAAAAAATCCAACTATCCTTTGTGTTTTACTCTGAAAAAAAAAATTGCCACAGTCAGATGACAAAATATTAAAATTAACTTATATATTTTCGGAATCCTAGCAAAAGAGATTCCTATTGCTATCTTTCCCTAAAACCTGCTTTCCATCCAGTTTAACAGGCCACTATGCAAAAGCATATTAGTTTCTATCCACCGCCCACATATATGGCTTTTTAGGCGGCCACCTTGATACACAAAAGGCAACACCCTACATAATACGTCACAAGACAAAGAAAAACTCCAAGCATGCTCTTGCCTCTGGGTACCATGCAAAAACCGTGATGGCCAAATTGTATAAAAGTTATGGTTTTTTAAATAACCCATCGGGCACCAGCACTCTCCCCTCGACAAGTAAAATCGTCTGACGTTAGACAGAGAGTAAGGTAATAAAGCAGGGCACATTGGGGTGCAATCCAACTTAATGGGTTAATAAAGTAATTATTATTTCATGAATTATATTTATATGAAATGAAGTATTCAGTGTATACCAGTCCAGGCAGCCAAGGATCGGGTTCTTGTGCCTTAATATTAGAAATGGTTCCCCACCATCCGTTTGCCTCTGCATTGCTGTTAGAAGATTCCTCATTCTTATGTGCGGCCTCTCTGTCATCCTGCGTGCTCAACTTAACATAATTTTTTAAAGACGAAATTTTCGATTCGAGATCCATTGATGGCAATGGCGAGCGAGCATGAAAGCCTGGGGCAAAATAACTTTCGTTTTGTATTTTTTTAATTCAAAGCTCGTTTATTTAGCCTGTTGTGTAAGAAATATTATTCCTATTTCTTCAGCTGAAGTTAAAATTGTTTAAAAAGTAGAAATATTTGCTCGTTTTAACAATAAATAATAAAATATAAAATAGTACTATAGTAGGCAAGATGTTATTTACCACACATATGTAATTACATGAAGTATACACAATCTACCACGGGCTCAATATAGTAAATAATATGGAAATTTATTGACCTATTTGTCGTTGAATATAGTTTATGTTCGAGTAATTAATAATTATCGCGTTCCACGTCACAGAGAACATCATTTTCCAGCTCCGTTATTGCCACCTTTGTTAGCCTAAATATTTAACTTTATTTCGGTGGCAATTATGCACGTTTTCCCATGAATATACTGGTCTATATGAGTTAGAAATTCACCATGGTTTTTCGTCGACATAAAGCCCTGTGGCAGGTTCTAGTTTTGCTTGTATTTGTTGGAATAACACTCAGGTATTCGTACAACTATTACAACGAAACGTCATTGAAACTAAAGGCTGCAAACATAAGACATCATGAATTACTGGAGGAAAGAAATAGCGTTAGTCGAGAGCTGGATGGTAAGTGTTTCAGCTGTCAAATTTATTATGCAAAGGTCAATTTATCTTATACAGTAAATGTAAAGAAATTATAGTGAACTGTTGAAACTTGACAGTGTCAAATTATAAATTTAATATGCTGCATTATACAACGTTTCTTCCCCGACGTTTGTCAGTCAAAATTTTTTTGTTCGTAAAACGTTTGTGGGTGTGGTTTGCATGCAAAAGTTTTAGTTTGGACCTTAAAAGTACACTTGTATTATATTAGCCTGCCTGCATTTTTGTATACCTGTAATATTTGCTTTTACTATATTTTGCTTTACTGGAGTAGTGGAGTCTGTATGTACTGTACTTTGATAGATAACCTGTGCGCGGGTTATGTGAATGT